TTGGGAGAGTGGATGGGGCGAGCCAGCAGCAGCAGGCAGACAAATATCCAGGGTCCAGCCAGAAGACAGGGGACCTGCCAGGCCTGGGCCCTAGCCTGGAAGTCTAGGCCAACAGGCAGGCCCTGGGAAGATGCTCAGGGATCTGGCAGGTTAGGAGGCACAAGGACCTCAAGGACCAGTCTCCTAAGAGTTCTCTTTGTCTCCAGTTTTCTCTCCTGCCATCATACCCCACACTACAGCCAAAGCAACCTTCCAAAAGATAACAGATTTGCTTAAGCCCCTCACTGGCTCCCTGAGATTTTTAAGATAAAGGCAAAGCTTGTAACCTGGCCCTTGTTACTGTCTTCTCTCATGTTCCCAGCCACCCTTCCTCATCAGCACAGGTGAGGCCAACCTAAACAACACAGTCTACTCCACTTATGTTTGTTCAGCAGCTCTTTCTGTGAACTTGAAGTATTTGTCGACACTCCCCATATTCTCCATTGGGCGAAGTCTCATTAATCCTTCAGGGCCTCTCCTCTGGGCTCTCCCAGCACTTTATGCCTCCTGCATTCATTGGATCTCCTTATCTAGACCTGAAACCTGCCTGGGAACGGGACTGTCTCTTTTCTTTGTTCTCTGGCCCTAGGCTTACAATGGGTAAGTAAACTCTGAATGTATTAATGAAGGAATGTTTTATTACTCACTTGCTTATCAAATATATCCTTCACCCTTAGAGCCAATAACTTAAAAAAAAAAAAATCTGAGGCTGGTCCCATAGCACAGTGGTTAAACAGTGTGCAGATGGAACCCAATCCCACAGGGCTGACCACACTTGAATTCCAGCCCTAGAAGCTTGAAAAATACACTGGCCACATGCATGCATGCCCAGGATCCTACCGGATGGAGAAATGAGGAGAAAGGATTGCAGTGTGATTAGGCCCCCTAAATATAATCATGCCCTTGCCTGCTCAAAGTTCAGTGACCTCCTTTGCTTTTCAAATAAAATCCTAATCCCTCCCGACTTGGTGCCCAAGACTTCTGCAGTCTGGTCTCAATTTCACATTCCCCTCATCTCCTCCACGTCTGACTTGTAGTCAACTTGTGCATCCTCCAGCTGATTATCCAGGACTGCTTTCTCTTTTTCTGACAGGCCTTCCTGATTGGACATTGGAATCTCACTAAATAGTTCTTGTTATCTCTCATCCTTGTACCTGAGCCTGAGTGCTCCCTCGAGGGCAGGGACAGGGATTTCTTCCAGCCCCGGCCAGCATTAGACTCCATCTGGAGCGCTCCAAAACTATTGGCATCTCCTTTGGGAAACGGGAGCCACCTGGGTATGCAGAATCCTCATGTGTGCCCTAAAGAACAGCTTCAAGACTTTACGGAGTCTCGGTTTCTGAAACCATAAGCCACTTTTCCTATAGATCCCATCTTAATCCCCTCAACTGCCTCAGCTTTTGCACCCTGCTGTCTCATCTTCTCATTAAGCCTTATTCTCTGCACAGACCCGGGAGCTCACAGGATAGGACTGAACCCTCTGGCATAAATCAGCATCAATGGATGCACCACAAGGCCATGGCTTCTGTTCTGAGGTCCTCTGTGGCCCTCAGACCCAGCCCGCCCATGGCACTACGCTGCTATGTGTGGAGCCTACTCACCTGCAGGAAGCAGGTTCCAGGTGGGGTACCCTCAGGCAGGGAGGCATTGTAGAAGGTCCTCTGGAACTGGGGCTCATTATCATTCACATCCTGCAGGGCCACGCTAACTGTGGCAGAGGAGGCTAGAGGGGGCAGGCCCCCATCTGTAGCCACCACAGTCAGCTGTGGCTGAGGTTCCAGCTCATAGTCCAGCAATGCAGCCGTGGTGATGATGCCTGAAGAGGGGTCAATGGAGAACCAGCGGGTGTGAGCACCAGGGGCCAGGCTATATGTGACCTGACCGTTGGTACCTTGGTCAGGATCCCGGGCTGTCACTCGCACCACAAAGCTGCCAGGCAGTGCAACCTCAGGCAGGGGCTCAGGTCGGTAGAGCTGGCGGTCAAAGGCAGGTGCGTTGTCATTGACATCAGTGACATGCAGCACAAAGGCAGCTTCTGCCCTCAGTGGGGGCGTGCCTGAGTCTGTGGCCGTAACCCGCAAGTTATAGGCATCCCGCACCTCCCGATCCAGTCGCCGAGCCACACACACCAGGTAGATGACACTGTCTTGAGTGCTCAGGGCAAAGTGGCCCTCTCCACCCTCCAGGGACACATTGACATGGGCAAAGTCACCATCGTCTGGGTCTGACACAGAGATGCGAGCAACAAGTTGTCCAGGTGGGGCGGCCTCAGACACTCGGGGGGAACCGTCTGCACTCAAGAAGATGACAGTCATGGAGGGCTGATTGTCGTTGGCATCTCGCACGTGCACAGTCACAAAGGCTGAGCCCAGCTCAGGGTGAGCGCCCCCATCCCGGGCTTGCACCACCAGTTCATGGACCCGCCTTTGTTCGAAGTCCAGTGGCCGCTCCAGCCTCAGCAGCCCTGTGTGTGCATCGATGGAGAAGGGTCCGTCACCCTCACTCTGCCTCCGATTGATTTCATAAGTCACGGCCCCGTTGGCACCAGCGTCAGCATCGGATGCAAACACCTGCAAGACAGGACTGCCAGGGGCCAGGCTCTCAGACACTGCAGTGTGGTAGCGGCTCTGGTTGAAAGCAGGGGCATGGTCATTGATGTCTAGCAGTGTCACATCCAAAAGGGCCTGGGCCCTCCGTGGGGGCGAACCACCATCATAGGCCTCTAGCTGCAGCATGTAGTGTGAGCGGTTCTCACGGTCCAGCTCCCCTGTAATGACCAGCTCAGGCACTGGAGCCCCGTCTGGACCAGGGCGTGTCTCCAGCTGGAAGGTCTCTCCAGCCCCATCACCAGACAGTGCGTAACCCTGGGTTCCCAGGCGGCCAGAGTCTGCATCACGAGCAGGTTCCAGCGGGTAGCGGGTGCCAAGAGCTGTATGCTCAGGTACCTGCAGGGCAGCCCGAGCCTGTGGGAAGGCTGGAGCATGGTCATTGATGTCAGCTACGCGCACTGTAACTTCCACGGTGGCCCCATCTGGAGTGACTGCAGTGAAGCGGTAGCGGTCCCGCCGCTCACGGTCCAAGACACGGGCTGTACGGACAACCCCACTGTGTTCATCGATGGCCAGGTCTGTGCCCACGCCGCTGCCCTCCTGCGCAGAGATGAAGTACATGGGCGGTGCGGCTGTGCCCGCTGGAAGCCCTGCGCTGATGTCCCCGATCAGTGTACCCGCTGGCTGCTCCTCATCGATCTGCAGGTCCAGGCTCCCAGCTTGACCCCAGGCACCTGGCACTCCAGCCCCCAGGAGCAGCAGCATCGGTAGCAGCAGAAGGTGCCTGGGGCTCTTCATGCCAGGGCAGGAAGGCCCAATGCCTGGCTCCTTCTGCATGACAGGGGTAGTCCAGTTGTAGCTTGGGCTCCACCTCCAGGCCAGGCCCGGGGCGCAGCTTGATCTCAGGCTTCGGATCAGGTCAAACTTGGGCCCTAGCTCCAGCTCAGGCTCCCTAACCTGGGAGGAAAGCAAAAGGAAAAAGGTCATGATGGGGAAGGGACCATCGGTCCAGCGAGATGAGAATGTAGGCCACATGCAAAAGTGCTCGGCCTCCCAGCCGGGGCTGCACGCTGCTTCATACCCATCCCAGCCCCCAGAAATCTCTGCTTTGAGACCTCAGGGCCTCCTCTGGTCTTTTTCCTGGCAGGTCTCCATCCCACCCTGAGCATCCTCACTGCTGCCTGCCAGCAGATTATCTGCTCCCTATTTTTCAGGTCTGAATGCCCTCAGACTCCCTTCATCTATCTTTAACTTAAACATATGGGCAATCTGTTCCCTTTTCATCCAGAACTAATACTCACCCCTCCCGGCCTCAGTAACCACGTACTTAGTAACCTCACCTGAACTATCTATCTTTTCCTCTCTGCTGGCGCTTTCTATCAGTAAATATGCGCAGATCTCATGTGTGTGTATATATATATATATATGCACACACATATAAATTTATACTCACATATGTGCATATAATGTGTGCACACACAACACATGTGTGTGTGTATTCCCTTAGCCCTACTTCCTTTTTTATAAAAAAATAATTATTTATTTTCTTTTATTTATTCATTCATTTTTTTGACCAGACAGATACAGAGAGAGAGAGAGAGGGAAGGTGAGAAAGCAAGCCACCAGGTCCAGGACTTGAACTGTGGTTGGCCATGTGGGAGTGTCCACACCTTAACGACCACCCCACCTTCCTTTTTTATTCAGCAAGAGGTTGACCATCTACTATGTGGAGGCACTGAAGATACAACAGTGAATAAATGAGATAGTTCCATGAGGCCAAAAGTGACATAGTGGTTGAGGCACTGGACTCCCACATGGTTAACTTTGGTTCAAGTCCAGGACCTGGCAGCTTGAAACTCATGCCATGTGTGTGCGTGCATGCATGCCCAAAATCCTGGGAGGAGAATGGAGAAGAAGGGACTACGGCATGGCCATCCCCCCCAGGGGGGTGATTCTTTGCCCTCTGTCTCTCTCTATCTCTCTGATAAGTGCTGTCTCTCTGTCTTTCTGGTGAGTGCACACACGATAGCAAAGATCTCTTGAAAAAAGTGAAAAAAAAGGAGACAGTCCCTGGCTTCACAGAGCTTGCAGTCCAGGAGTTACAAATAATGAGTGCACTAAGGGCTGTGAAGGGGAGGTACAAGGAGAGAGGAGAGTCTGTAAGAGGGACTTACCATGGTCGGGGAGTCAGGGAGAGTTTTTCTGAGGAACTGACATTCAAGTGGAAATCTAAATGAGTAGGTAGGCAGAAAAGGGGGCTGGAAGAAGAAGAGCAGTCTGTAAGCTCGAACAGAATAGAAAGGCTTGGAGTCTTAGGTCAAGGAAGGGCTGAGAGTGGAGTGGAGGACGGGGAGGAGGAGAGGACAAGGCTGTGAGGTGGAGAGTGCTCAGGGTATGAAATGAGACAGGGATTTGGAAGCCACTGTGAAGATTCTGACACTATCCTAAGGGTAAATGGAAACCATTGCAGCAATTTTCTTTTCTCTTTTTTCTTTTCTTTTCTTTTCTTTTCTTTTCTTTTCTTTTCTTTTCTTTTCTTTTCTTTTCTTTTCTTTTCTTTTCTTTTCTTTTCTTTTCTTTTCTTTTTTCCTCTTTTCTTTTCTTTTCTTTTCTTTTCTTTTCTTTTCTTTTTTCCCAGCATTTCAAGGAGAAGTTACATTTTGCAAAATGAAGGGCATGCAGATAGGATGTTTAGGAGGCACTTGTGGGAGTCCCAGCAATACTGCTGATTTGATGGGGACCTGGATGAGTGCTGGCAGTGAAAATGGGGATAACTGTTGGGTCTGCAGAGTGGGGATGGATGACTGAAGGTGGAGGTGAGAGTGTGGGAAAAGTCAAAGATGCTGAGCCTGAACCACCGGATGGACAAAGGCGTCCTTAACTGGGAGAATGCAGGGGAGAAGGAGACAGAATGAGAACCGGGGTGTGTGTGTCTCTGAGTCTGAAGGGAGCTACTAAATGCTGCTAAAGTTTAGGGAGGAGGTGGCCTGATGCCTCAGGGCCTTTAGTGACTGAGTGAGGACAGAATCTAGGGAGAGGTGGGAGCAGAGACTGAAGAAAGGAGGTAGTTGCAGGAAGGAAAGGAACATTCAGAAGCTATCACCCTCTCTGAAAGGTGGCTTCATTTGCCCCCATTTTATCACTTCTCACACCCTTCTTCCTCTCTGCAGTGAGGCTTCCTCTCGTGACATTGCTCACACTCAGCTGACACGCTCTACACTGGGCACTTCATACCCTCGTCCTTATGGAGTCCTCCACAGCACTACCTCACGATCGCTGCCCCTTGGCCTCATACCATGACCACCCACCTCGTATTTCCATCATGCTTTCCTGTCCACTCCTCAATGTCCTTTGTGGGTTTTTCCTCAGCCTACTCCCTCACAAGTGGGGTTCTTGGGGGTGCGGTCCTGGGCCACGTCTTTTCCCACTCTGCACTCTGCCTGGATGATCCGCTTCCATGCCTTCAAGTCAGTCATGTTTTATGTACCATTTATTTGCTGATGGCTTTCCAGTCTCCACCTCCAGCCCTGGAGAGCTTTGGAGAAACATGTCTTGCCATAAACTGGGCTTCACAGAGGATTCCCACTGTGTCCTCAAGATGACTTCCTCCCCTTCCTCCATTCCTGTGAACACAACCATAATCCAGCCAGTGTTCAGGCCACAAATCTGGAGCTCACCTCGCTTCCTTTCTTTTCTTTAATCCTGATTTGCGACTAGTTATCAGAACACAACCGTTTCCACTGGACATGTCTCAAGTCTGTCCTTCCCTGTTGCTGTCCCAGTCTGAGCACTGCCATCTCTCCTTGTGATTCCTGCAACAGCTCCTTACTGGTTGGTCCCCTGTCTTCTGACTTGGACCTTCTAATCCATCTCCAGCGACCAGAAAGATCCATGCAGTGCTCAACAAATCAGCCCTGGTGGGAGGCTCCCATTGGCTCTGACACCACAAAGTTGCTGCCCTTTCCAAAAATTAAAAAAGCAGACACACATGCACACAAAGTTGAGTCTTCACTTTCAAGGGGTTCATAGACACTGGGTAGAGAACTTCTGACCTTCAAGATAAAATCCAACCTCCTTAATATGTCTTCGAACTCTGGGTCTTGCCAACTTTCCATCATCCCTCAATTTTACTTTCTCCACCACACCTAGCATTCTGATAGTGCTAAACCTAATCCCTTTTCCCTTCCTAACTTTTTTAAAAGAGATTTTTGCTATAGGGCATGTGCACTCACCAAAGAGACAAAGACAGAAAATGAGAAATCATCCCCCACCAGGGTGTTGGTCGTGCTGCAATCCCTTCTCCTCCATTCTCTTCTTAGGATTTTGGGTGTCCGTGTACACGCACCTAGCACAAGTTTTAAGCTGCTAGGTCTGGGATTTGAACCGTGGAAGTCCAGCGACATAACCATTACACCATCTGCTGGTCCCTCCCTTCCAAACTTCTTGCTTTGTATATATTATTCTCTCATCCTAGTAGATCATCCATAAATTCTCTCCATGTGACCATCTCTTAATACATTTTGAGATCCAGTTCAAACAGCCGGTATTCTGTGGAATCTTCTCTGACCCTCTAAAACACCCTCCACAATACCCTGTGTAGAGCCCACTGTCTGTAGGGGCTCCTACAGACAACAAATTGCATGGCGGCCCTGATTTGTTCACTGTCTGCCACCTTGTCTGGTTTGGAAGTTCCTCTAGGGTAGTGACAATCTTAGTCTTGGATTCTCTGGCAGTCAGTAGAGGTACAGCACGAGCAGGTGACCAGTGCTGAATGACAGCTCAGAGCCCGTGCTTCCACACCACTGCATTCACTCACAAGCATCCACGGTCACGCCAGCTCAGATGCCATACGTGAACATGTGCCCCTGAGGCACTGTGACCAGTCTTCTGGCTATAGATGTGTGTCCTTGGGTCTTTAAGGATTTGCTCTGCTCTAGGACTTCCAAGGGAGGATTTCTGATCTGACACATACACTTCCAGCTCCCATTCCTCTCATGTGTGTGAGGCAATAAAAAGAGCAGGGGACTGGATGGTCCCGTAACTTTGTGGCTAAGGGAGCTGAATCCCACATGGCTGACTGCAGGATTCAAACTTGGCCCTGGCAGCTTGATAAACACGCCAGGTGTATGTGCAAGGGTGCCCCACATCCTGACAGGATGGAGAAGGGACTGCAGTGTGACTACATCCTATTGGGGGTGTTTTCTCCCTTTCCCTTTCTTCGTCTCTGGTAAGTACATGAGTCCTCGGGAAATTTATTTTTTTAAATAAAAAATGAGTAGGGGCTTTGGGGTTTAGGCTGGGTTTGAGTCCCAGTCTCAGCATTATGTTTCCAATTGGAAAAAAGGCTGCAGTGGCACCTACTCTATGGGATTGTGTGAGAATTACAATGTAAGCAAGGAGCACAGAGCTGAGCGCTGGGTAGATCCTCTTTCATCAATTCTCTGCATTGTTGCCTGATTTTTCCCCTCTATGCCTTCATCCCAGCGTCAGAATTCTGGGTTCTATGTGTGCACTAAGGGTCCCCTCTAGGCCTTCATCCCAGTGTCAGAATTCTGGGTTCTATGTGTGCACTAAGACCCCATTCTTCAGATGTCAAGTCTGAGGAGCCCAGGAAGTTGCCATAAGGAACCGGGCCAGAAGAATTCAGAAGCAGGAGGTCTGATGAATGCAGGTGTGACTCAGAGGGGTGTGGAAGATGAGTGTTTCGGCGATGGTCCCAAGGACAGATCAGGGATCTACGTGCAGAGACTGTGTTGGGAGTCAAGGGTAAAGAGTTGGTTCTATTCAGGGCCAGCAGGAGGCGTGGAGGTTAAGGTGCTGAATCCCACATGGCCAACTCTGCAGTTTGAGTCCCAGACTCAGAGGCTTGAAAGTAACACTGGGTGCATGTGCATGTGCATGCCCCAAATCCCAAGATAAGAACGGAGAAGGGACTGTGGCATGGCCATTCAGACTGGGGAGTGATTTCTCATTTTCTCT